AACCAGTAAAGGGTGTCAAGAGTCTTGGGTTCTGTACGTAACTCTGCCACTGATTCCCTCTGATAAATCATGTAGGTTATGTGTGCTTCAGTTTCCTTCTTTGCAAAATGGGGGTGGTAATGCATATCTCAGTGAGGTATGTCATTCCAGAGAGCTTTACAATTCTTAGATGGAAGGTGTGCTTAAGAGGTGAAAACATTGTCATTTAAGGATAGTGATAGAGATGTAGCCGTGTTAGTCTGGTGTAGCTGAAACAAAATACAGGACTATGTAGCACTTTAAAGACTAACAAGATCATCTAATAAACCATCTTGTTAGTCTTTAAAGTGCTACATAGTCCTGTATTTTGTTTCATTTAAGGATGTCATCTAATTGGATCCTTTAACTGTAAAATAGCATGAGGCAACAGCTCTGCTTGTTAAGTTCTAACAGAGACACAGCTCAAGCTAAAAATCATGGTGGTCTCAGAAGCCAAATCCCAAACATGACTGTGTGTTTTGTCGAACAAGACTTTAACTTTCATTTACTATTGCTTGGAATGAAGGACTTCTGACACCCTGTTAGAACTTTGGTGAGTCCCATTGAGTTTTCCCAGCTTTACACTGCTATCGTTGGAAGAATCACATCACAGCTATGATCCCTTTGCGTCAAGAAGAACTGGATTTCTTCAAAGGCCTGTGAACTGAGGAAGATCTTTCCTAATTTTTGTCAGTCAGTGATTGACGTATGCCCTGAAGTACTGAATGTACATCTTTTACAAAAAATATCTCTAAAGTAATTATGGATGTTCTCTTTAACAATATAAACATTTAAGTCTTTTGTGTAGCTTTAGTGTGTGTAGTCACAGGTGGACAAATTCTGCTCTCATTTATACTGGTCTAAGCCTGGACTAATTGCATTGGAAACAGTTAAGTTACTCCAGCTTTACATCAATATAACAGATCCAAATTTGGCTAACGAGGTCTTCTCCACAGTTCCCACTGGAAATGATCAGGAAAAAAATGCACCTACAGTCAGAAAATACCAAAAACAGAAAACATCTAATAAGAAGCCATATAGCTTTTAAAATAGTATCAATGGGTATGTCTACACTACCCCGCTAGTTCGAACTAGCGGAGGGAATGTAGTCATCCGCACTTGCAAATGAAGCCCGGGATTTGAATTTCCCGGGCTTCATTTGCAGGAAGCCGGCCGGCGCCATTTTTAAATGCCGGCTAGTTCGGCCCCCGTGCCGCGCAGCTACACGCGGCACGGACTAGCTAGTTCGGATTAGGCTTCCTAATCTGAACTAGCTAGTCCGTGCCGCGTGTAGCCGCGCGGCACGGGGTCCGAACTAGCCGGCATTTCAAAATGGCGCCGGCCGGCTTCCTGCAAATGAAGCCCGGGAAATTCAAATCCCGGGCTTCATTTGCAAGTGCGGATGACTACATTACCCCCGCTAGTTCGAACTAGCGGGGTAGTGTAGACATACCCAATTATAGTGTATTGTTCATTATTAATTTAGTTATTAATAATAATAATACTAATAATATCACATAATTGTTGTACATGATATTTTATAGATTTGTGTCAAAGAGCAAACAATCCCAAAAGGAAGGAATTCCAAAAAGTAATTGCTGACTGTAGAGAATGATCAGAATAAACCCCAAATCTGTATGTGAATAGGTACAGCATGTAAATTAAAATATTCATTTGTATTTGCCCTGATCTCTGGTTTCTTCCCTTTTTTCACAGTCATCAGTGTAGTGGGCCTCTTAGAGGGACATGGAGATAGCTATTTAGCCAAAAGGAAACAATGTAAAAAACACTTCGGCCATGTTAAAATGTCAATCCCATCAGAACTAGGGTTGTAAACTACTAGTCGAGTCACTACTCAACTACTCACTCCCCTCCTTCCCCGCTGCCCCTGTATCAGAGGCAGGAAGGGGGGGGAGCAGGAGCCGGTACTGATGGGGAACCGTCTTAAATGCTGGTTCCTCCCAGCACCATATCCGCTGGCAGGAGTAGGGGAGGCAGAGGCTCAGCAGGGGACCGGCACAAGCAGGGTTCCCTTTCGGCTCTGCCTTTTAAATGTAGTAAGAGGCAGGCTCCTACTACATTTAAACTACAGCGCTGCAGCGGGGGTAGCAAGTGTCACCACTTACTGACTAATCGAGTAGTTGATGGAAATTCCATGGACTACCGGATTAGCTAATTAAACACTACTTAACATTCCTAATCAGAACACAAGGGGATTGGTTCTGTTTTCTCTTTGTTTTTAGTGTCAGGTTTTGCGTAAGGCTAAAAATTATATCCAGGAGCTGGAGCAGACTTTGGGTACGTTGCTGAAGATGAAAGGTACTGTATGGAAATATATACCTGAAATCGTTTTCCTGGGTCTGCCTTTAATGTACTTGTTAAGTAGGGACGGCTAGCCAGGTGACTGAGCCATTATTCAAGGGAAGATGGTGCCTTTAGGCTAAGCAAGAGATAGCGTATATCACCCAGGAATAGCCCAAGGAAGCATTATGCTTCAAAGATACCCCTCTGAATCTCACCAGTTTCCTCCCTGCTTCCTCTTTGATCTGATGGGTTAGAGAGGACAGATTCAAACGTTGCTGGCCTACATCAGCAGCAAATTAAGGCTTTTCCTTCCTTTCCCTCCCATCCCACTCAATTTCTTGCTGGATCATCTGCACTGGTCAGTGTATTGAAGAGCTGTGCCCACTCCTCACCCACATTTTCAGGGACTAGTAGCAACATAGAGACCCTTCTTACTTCTGTACACCTAAAATACAGGCAGTCCCTGAATTACGAACAGGTTACGTTCCGAACACCTGGTTTTAACTCGATTTGGTCGTAAGTCAGAAATGCCCTTAGACGCACTGCCCGCGCTGTTCGAAAAGCTTGATGTACATGATTCTCAACTCGAAAATATTATAATGGGGTTAATGGGAGGTTGGTCATAAGTACGGATGGTCATACGATGGTGTATTTGTAAGTCGGGGAGTGTCTGTATAGCTTATTAATGAAAGAGTCAAAGGGAGGTTCTTCCCTTATCTCCTCTGCATAGGTGCACAGTTCAACATACAACCTGGTCTTGAGCATACAACTTCTTGATTCACAAACATAGTTGAGCTCCAGGTTTGGACTGGAGGGCACTGAGAGAATTTAGTCTGGGGTAAAAGATAAGGCAAGAGGGGGGCAGAAATCCCATTCAGAATTTTCTTACAAACCTGTAGGAAGTGAGAAATTTTAGCTAAGAAGTTACTTCGAAGGAAATGTATGAGACAGTGGTGGATTTATTTGGGTTTTTGTTCTGTTTTCTGTTGGATCCTGCATATGTATTTTTCCATTAGCCTACCCTAACACTTTAAAACAAATACATTCTTTTCTTCTGGATGAAGACAGTGTGATGTGACTCCCTTCAGTACCTGTCACATACCCTTTAATCAGCTGGAGCAGTTGCTATTGAGCAGTGGAGGTACTTCCTCTACTGGGGCAGAACATGCTGCTTCTGCAGTCTCCCCGTCCTATTTCCTTGCCTCTTCACCTGACTGAGGATCTGGGAATCAGAACTAAAAATAAAACACATTCACTGTTTTCAGTGGTAGAGATTTAAACTCCATGATGATGATTTAAAGCCAGTGAACATATTTTTAATGTGTTAAACGGTGTCAGAGAGACTCCCCAAAGCCTGAAATATCAAAACTTCAAAGAAAGAAAATAACTGCAGCATTTTGTATTGACTAGTAGTCATATGGACTTTGGTTCCCTAGCTGTTATTACGGAAAATCAAAGTTACCAGTTCACTGACCCAAGGCCAGCGTTATGCAGATATCAGTGACTTTGTGTCCTGCACAACCAGTGCCCATAAACTGTTGATATAGTTGGTCATGTTATGGGATGGGAAGAATGTCTATTTTGTCTAATCAAAAACTCTACAAGTCAGTTGTCATCCTTACTCTATTTGACTGGGACTGACGGTGGTAAATGGGATGCCAAATGCCCCAGTCTCTGATAGTTATCTTTCTGCTGACTACAGAGTCCTTCAATCTGGAGGATGGAAACCCATCCAGCTTGGAGGAAGTCAGGGAGGAATATGTCAAGATGTACTTCAGCGATCACAGGTAAGGACTCAGAGCAAGAAATTATAGTACTTTGCATTTGCATCTGAAGTGACAGTAGTAACTGGAGGTCCCATCAAGGCCTAATTATGCTAGGCACTGTCACCATACGTGTGTATGCATCCACTCCCCCAGCGAGACTGTCTTTCCATCAAAAACACTAGTCTAAATAGAATGGCATTTGTCTATCAAAATACTGCAAATATTACAGCACAGTGATTGTCTGTCCCTGTGAGGGAAGGAAATACACAGATTGAGATGAAGAAGTTTTACCTGGCACTTTCAGACTGAAAAAAATAATTGAAATAAAAAAATTAAACCCTTACATCTTCACTGAGGCACTTTCATTAGCCCCAGCAAAGCAAAACAAAATACAACAACAACAAAAACACTTGTTCTAAAAGAATCGCTGGGCCTCCAGAATGGTCCTGGCAAGGACAGTTTTAACTTGGTTGGGAAGTCATGCGTTTGGCTTTGTTCCATGTTTTCCTGCCAGTACTGCATCCCCTTCAGATGCCTTGAATGAGAGTAGCTCCACAGTCTGGTATGTGATTCAAGAATTTGAAAAAAACTCAATGGAAGAGGATGGGAAGCCAAGACTTATCCAGTCCCCAGCCACTTCGTCTCCTGATCTGATGGAGTTTGAACGGTAGGAGTATTAAGTGTGTAGTATTGTCATAGTCTTCATGTGTGACAACCCATACAGTTGTTGCGTATCATGTAGCTTTCCTGGAGTCTGACTTTGGGTCCCTGGATGCCCAGACCAGCAGAGGCATCAATTTCAGCTCCCACTAGTGGGGGACTGAGTATCTTCCATGACTCTTCAGTAATTCCCTTATGCCTGGCTGTAACTGTGAGCCTGAATACTGGCCACAGGGCAGCTCTCTGCTTCACAGAACTTTGAAAATCTCTGAAGGTTCCCCATCCTCAGGAAAGAGATGTAATGTTCTTTCAGGTATGTCAGTGTGCTAGTGTGAAGCAGGAGGGTTAGGGTCTCTTCAAAGATGTTAACTTTACTTACGATCATTCTTATTATCCGTATAAGTGTCAGCTCCTCTTTGACTCTCTAGCCTTCTGCAATCCTTCCTGCTGTCATGATGTTTTGGGGTCTTTTTGTAAGATTTTCTATTGTTGCTGATAATCTATATGTTTGAGAGAGTCTGTCTATCTGTTCAAGATCTCCTCCTAAACCAGGGGTGTCCAAACTTTTTTCAAAGAGGGCCAGATTTGAAGAAGTGAATATGCGTGAGGGCCGTCCCCGCACTCTCAGCCCCAAGGCGGAGGGTCCGCGGGGTCGGAGGCGGGCGGAGAGCGCAGGGCACGCCGGCCTCACGGCGGCCCGGGGGCAGGGCGAACCCGCAGCCAAGCGG